TTGCATTTTTTTCTAACGGGACAGGTAATAAGCTTCGTAAGTATGAAAGACTTCAAATACTTTTTGCTCACCGTTACATGGTTTTATAGGTCTAAGAGGAGAATGTCTCTTGTAGTCAGGCGGATGGAGGTTGATTAAAACAATATTTCAAGGATGAAGTATGGTAGCCACTCTTAACGCCTTTGCTTTCCTGAACGTTTTAGACACCAGGATAGAGAGGAATCAGTGGGTGCATGAAGTCCAGAGCTTCACACGTTGCAGCCAGTCATCACAGCGCTTGGTTCTGTAGGGATTTGTAAGAACGTGTCCGCTCGGGGTACCACAAGCTGGAAAACGTTGCTCCATGATACATAGCAAAGACTTTTAGTGCAGAGCACTGCAGCCTTGGGACAGCAACGTGCTGAGGTCACGTTAACAGGGCTTTTCTGAACACAGGTTCTATGTTTATTCTCCAACCTTAGGTTGCTATCCCAGAAAACATCCTATTCATTGAGAATCCTTGTGCCTGAGGTTGCAGTTTTGATATATAACCCACTTTTTCAATATTCTGGGATGGAAAGTTTTTAAACAGCCTCATTTCATTTTGGTAATGGATGTGGCAATTTTCAGTGCTTTGTCCTTGTTCCCATGAGGTATTCTGTCTCTGTCCTCATATGCAGCATTATTCTTACAGGAAAAAATGATGCAAAAAGCTAATTTAATATTTGGTCAGTCCTCCTAATTTCTACCCCTTGTTGACACCAGTTTTTCATTTCTTGCTCTTTATTTCTTGTTGAGAAAGCTTTTGTTTGTCTGCGAGTTCCCATTTTCCTGGCCTCTTGGCAGTTTTAATTTAAATTCTGTGGCCTGACCTCTGAAGTGCCAGCTCTCTTTGCTGATCAGTCCCTTTTTCCATTCCTTGTAGGTTCTCTGCTTTCTCTTAATATCCTGCTTTGAGGTGCATTCTCATGCAGGTAGGTCTGTAGCCCTTTCCTGTCCCCTTTTTTCCTTTACTTGGATGGAAAGACTCAGATAGTGTTTGATTTAAAGCAAATCCATGCTTTCCATACACTCAAATCCAATTGTGTATGTGTTTCATATGTCTTTATATGAAATTTTGGGTTATGGCCCAACAGGGGAAGGTGGGATTGCTCTTGAAATGTAAAGAAAACGTAGTTATTTTTGAGTTATGCATCTGGTGAGGCCTGTACCCCCAGAAGGTTAAGGAAGTTGGAATTGCCTTTGGCAATTATTGTATGTTGTATAGGCTGCTTACTTCCAGATGGTTTTCTTTCCTTCATGTAAAACCATGGGGATTAATTTTAAAAACTGGCATTTAAACTACCTGAATCAGAAATAGATTTTTTTTTTTCTTTTTTTTCTGATGTTAGGTGTGTTTACATAAATACAATCAGTTCTGTTGGAAGCTCAATAATTTTGAAAATTTCCTGAAATTCTTTCCAGGTGTTTCGCTGCTTTTAAAAAAAAAAAAAAAAAAGTATGCTGATGTTTCTTTTCTCTTTGTGTTGAAAGACAAACCTCTTCGGCAGATTTTCTTTTGAAAACCCAAACTCATAAGATGACAGTTCATTTGTCCATCTCTCCAAGTGGCTGGGGAAGCTCTTGCCATGAACGCAAAGGCTGCTTTTTGGAGACACAGTGATCACTTCTGAATCTTCATCTTATCAAGGATGAAAAAGATGAATTAATTACTCCAGCGCTGGCAGTTTTAGAATGCAGACTGAAGTATTTATCTGTACATCTGTGTCACTGAAACCACCTTCAGAATCTGTAGGCAGGACTCTGGGTGTGAGCCAGAGTGAGGTGAGGTGAGGTAGTGTGTGGATTTACAGTCTGTCGGCCACTTCGTGTGTGCTGTGCCACGAACACATCTGTACCATATGGCCAAGCCGCAGAATTGCCTGGCGACATGTGAAGGCAGTAATCCCTGCAGAGGGACACGGCTGAAATACTTCGGTCCAAGAACTGGCACAGGAACTTCACGGTTGGACTCGGGTCTTTCTGAGTTAGAGCAACACTACTGAAGAATTTTTTCTGGCTTCTGATATCAAAATGGGGCTCAGTGCTCTGCCATGTTGATTTTGATAATCTTAGAACTAATATAAATTTTAAATTACACATTTATGAATTTTATTTAAATGTAATTGGAATTCCTCAGTGTGGTTTAATGGTGATGTATAATGCTTGTCTCTTTCTTCTCCTTGGAGGCAGAGGGGAGTCTCTGAATAGAAGTCCCCTTCTTTGTCAGTTCTTTTTATTTGGAAATAGCTATTTTCTTTGCTGAGGTCTGCCTGAAATTCCCAAAGTCCACCTCTCATATGTGTGTTAGTGCTTGATGAGGTGCTAGCAAGAAAGAGATTTGTGAATCTTTCACTGTGTTTGTTAGCCAAGGTATCCTTCAGTATTTATGTTGCAAGATTTTTAAAGCATGGATAATAGTATTTAGTAACTAAACATTTGAAAAACATACTAATGGACTGTTTATATTTTGTATTATTCCTCTTTATTGTTTTCCTTTGCTTTAATGAGATGGAAACCAATTTAGTGTCATTAGTAAATGTCTGAGCACGTTCATCAAAATGAGCTTTCAACACTGGTGGCGAGTCTGGGGGTTATATCTTTAATCTGATGGCACTTTTAAGTTGTTTGGTTTACTTTTTAAACTTCATGGGTCAGTGGGTGTTTCTGTAACATATGGCACTATATGCTGAAAGTGGATGTTTACATCTGGTATGCATTGGAAGATTAAGGTAGAAAGGATGAAGTTTTGGGCAAGTACGTGTTTTTTGGATGAAGGATAAAGTGAGAATACTTTTATTTCCTCTTAGATTTGAAACATATCATTCTAGCAATGCCTTTGAAACTCTGCCAGCTTTGCCAACCGTAACATTTATGGGATTTTGGACCTAAACTGAATTAGAAAACTGTTTTTAGTGGCAGAGGAAAAGGTTAGTGCATGAAAATAGCTAGGCCTATTATTGACTGCATGTGGTCAGTGGTTTGGCTGAATGTAGGTGGCTCTTTTCCTGTCACTGTTTTCAAGCATATGGCTTTGTTTGTGACAAATATAAAACTCCTTAAAAATGAGTTCTACTGCAGTTCTTTTGCACAGTAGTCATCTGCTATTTAGTAGTGATTATTTTGCTTTTGCCGTTCATCTTCAGTCTTGCAGTGAAAAAACCCCCACTTTCTAAATAAAGCTTGTGATTTCTGTTGACATCAAAACTAAGAGGTTTGAAGAATGTGGTCATCTGTGTATAGCAGCTGCTACTGTCAGTAATCTTTTCTAAAAGGATGCGTATACTATGTTGATTCTTTATTGTAGTTAATGCTGGGATGTTAGCAGTGAGCAGAAACTCCTTTTAAATGTGGACATCCACTTTGTTTAATTAGTACTTTTGTAAAAATCTCAAATACTGAATTATAACTTCCTTTTATTTATTTTTGTTTTCTGTCTTGAAAGTAACATTTATAGCAATTATTCCCAAGGTCAGCTTAAGATTTGCCATTTCTTTTTCCCATTGTGTAGAAGACACCTTGCAATTAACCTAGTGCTTCGTTTTCTTCGTTGGGTGCAGTATACGGTGTGCTACTTCAGTGCGCAGGGAGCAGCAAATTTTCTGGTTCCTGCTGCAGAGAGAGCTTAAGGGCACAATAGGTTCTGTTTAGCTTTAACTTAAACAGTGTTACCCTATTTATATCTTTAAAAAAAAATCTGGGTGATAGAGCTGTAAATTGTGCAGACTGTGGATTTTGTAGATTGTCTGGTGTTTTCAGTGTAGAAAATTCTAGTGAATCTTGTTTTAGCAGCTATCAGATGCAAGAGCTGGTTTCACACAGCCGTGAGCAAAGTACATTTGGTTCTGCAAGATGCGGAGAACTGCAGTAAGAATTAGGGGCACCAAGTACTTCAGGAGTTGGTTCCATTGCTGTAAAGTATTTAAAAACAAAGCAAAACCATTTACAGTTTCCCCATGTTTGGGGAAAATAATTTATAGAATTACCCAATTGTTAGAGTAACTGTAAAAGAATAACTGTATAAACAATGAGAAAACCTGTAAAGCTGCTTAATATATTTGTGAGCCAGAGAGGTGCATCTGGTCCCACAGCCCAGACACAGGGAAAATCACTCCGTTGCACAAATGAGGCTACTTGTGTGATCACGCCTTGAAGACTTCTAAGGACTTCATTTGTTACCTACATGAAAGATTTATACAATGCTATTTAAAACACAAAATGTACTTTCAAAATTCTTAAAATGTTAAAAAAATCTCTAGAAGCTGTAATTATGGCAACTATAGGTTGGAACTTACTGTAATATCTTCCTACAATATAGCATAACAATATAACTTGCAGGTTATTAAGACATTTCTTTTCTGATTTAAAGTAGGTCTTTTGAATTGTATTATGAAGGCAGAGCTGTTGTTCCTAAGCATGCTTGGTGAAAGACTTGTCACTAAGCAAGAAGTGCTATGCATGCATTTGTATGTCTCATTGCAAGAGAATCTGAAGTAAGGTGGATATAAGCATTGCATCCTCAAATGTTTTGATTTTTTTTGTTTTTGGTTTTTTTTTTTTAAGAATTTGAATTTGCATGAGTTTGGGGTCATGCAAAACACCCTCAATAACAGCAAGCTGTGTAATGTGGTTTGTTTTGGGTTTTATCCCCCTCTCAGTTCTGAGTTAGGACTAGGAAACTGCTTGATATTTTTGAGAGTAGTAATTCTCACAATTCAGGAATGCTCTGTCTTCAGAGATCTCGTATTTAAACATACTACCTAACTGATAACTGTTCCTCATCAAAAAGACTTGAAATATGAAGATGATGGACATTATTACTAACCATCCTATCAATCCATGTTCAGAACTGAATCTTAAGAGAAAAACAGCACAGCTAACTGATGACTTTTGTTTTTGATTTATGCGAGATATTTTTTTGTGGTCTTGTTTGTGAAAACAGTTACAGTGATAATTCCCAGTGCCTCCTGTTTGGATTGCAGAGGTTGGAGACCTGCGGGAGCTGCAAACGCTGGACATTTCAACCAACCGTTTGATAACGCTACCTGAAAGGCTGCACATGTGCCTCTCGCTGCAGTACTTGACTGCAGACCGAAACCACCTGTGGTACGTGCCCCGCCACCTGTGCCAACTACCGAGCCTCAATGAGCTCTCCATGGCTGGAAACCGCCTCGCATTTTTGCCACTGGGTGAGTCACCACCATCATTGGGCTGGGGGTGGGTCGGACAAGAGATAGGAAAACAAACTTTTCATCCCAAAATGAAAAAAAAAAAAGATAAAAAAGCAACAAGTGATTTTGTTTGGTGGTCCCTGCAAACTCTGTTTATGGAGTTGTGACAGTGATCATATTGTTAGAAAATATGTTAATAAACAAAAAAAAGACAGGTTAAGGTTTCATGTCTGTTTTAAAGCAATAGGTCAGCTATCAAATTTGCTTTATTTTTAGCTAACTGAGGGAGAAAAAGGTTTAAATGATGCTGTGTTTAAATATAGTACTATGTAATCTGAGTTCCACCACTGTGGGTAATGATCCGTTTCTATTTGCTGGATCTGATGGTTTGACTAGGATTCTTCAGCTAGGGTTTAAAACCTGCTGTGGAATCCCAGTAACTCCACATAAATTATTTTTCATTATTAGGAATGTCAGTACTGTATCGCCTAGCAAGGATTTAATTTGTGCTGTGTATAGGCATCCATCAAAACTTCCACGGTAGTAGCCCAGGAAGGAATTTATCTGCATTTTTCTCAGCCCTTTCAAAGTTTGTCAGTGTGTGGTGGTTTGTTGTGGGAAGTCGCTGGGTTGTCAGTTAAGAGTGGACTGTATATTCTCTTTGTGAAAAGCAAGTCCTCTTCCCTGTGTTTGTTACTTTTTAGCCCTGCCATGGGCTAATCTTTGCTGAAATACAGACATGCATGCAGATCTGTCATGTCGTTTGAATAGCCATTAATAATTTTTCTAGAATACAGTGAGAGTTTGGTGTTAATTAGGTGCAGATGAAGTTATGATAATCACATTGAAAAGAAGCTGAAAATTGAGGTGGCTAAAAATGAGATGATAATTTCTAAATTAATTACATTGTAAAGGTTTAACTTAATTTTTTCAGTGCTAGCAATTTAGTCTTTAAAGACGTTTATGATCTTTCTGATTTTCTTAGCACCTTAGTTAGTTTATATTACTGGAAAATAAGTGCAAATAAAGTCTGCAGACATAGTGTTTTAGTTACATCCCAACATATGTCATTATATAAATGAGAAAACGAGTTCCAGGATGCATCATCCAGATTTCACAGTACTAACTAAAACAAGTAACTTCCCCTATTCTGGCAAATATTTCTAACCCCATTTCTTGAGACCAGAAGTTGAATCTTTTTAGTTTTGCAAAAATAAGATGCTATTCAGTAAGGTGAGATGTGAAATATTAAAAGGGTAAAAGTTTTTGCTACTTTTGCCCTAGTAGCTTATCTGTGAGTGAGCTATGACCTGGATGAGCCATAGATCTGCTGAAGTGTTTTAAGTTCAAAAGGAGAAAATAAATCTCTAATATAATGACACACCTTCTTTTTTCTTTATTTTTAGACTCAAATTCAAAACATTCAAAAGGAACTTTTAAAATAACGGGAAACATCAAAGACCATCAATTGACCTTGTTCAGTGGTTCTTAATAGTGACTCACTGGTGAACATTTGGAGATAATTTGCTATCTGGAGATATGAAACTGAATCATAAATCCTAGAGTTCAGAGGAAAAGCAGCACAGTATAAATGCAAATGTTTAATCCTTTCTCTGAAAAATCTGAAGGCTTCAGAGTGGTAAAGATATGATGAAATAGAAGACAGAGTTAGTGCACTGAAAAGCAAAAAGATTAAATCTGTCTTCTGTTGTATGGGAAAATATTTTTCTTGGAGTATTACTAAGTTAAGGCATAATTGTAGCGTTATTTCTGCTAGCTGCATGTGTTGGCTAATGGTTTTTTATGTGTATTCTTACATCCAGCTTCACTTTACGAGTTAATGACTGAGTAAGGACATTAAATAACAGTGAAAGATACTGTAAAAATATCTGCAAGTGATATTCAAGCAAGAAGTATCAAAAATTTTTTTCAATTAGGGACTTGAGTTGAAAAGCAGACATTTTATTCATCTCCTGACAGAATGGGGTTCTTTTTTTCTCTTTTTTATTAGACATGTCCGTGTTTGAAGAAATATGTTTGGAACATACTGCTTATAATGCTTTTTAAAGTGTGATTTACTTTATTTCATATGGTGGTTGACATCTACTATGCCAAGGAATCCATTCTTCCTCATCTAAGTATGTCCCTTGTAGCTGCCAGTAGAGACTTTTGTTAAGTGTAATGGAAATCTGAATTTTCCTGTTCGTAGATTGATAGGTGTAAGATTTATTCCAGCAGTAGGACAGTGCTTTCACAGCACTGCTGGACAGGTACTATGTATTTTTTTGCCCTGTACATTCTTGTCAGTGTGTGGGCATGTGTGTCTTAAGGGGAAAAAAAGTGTAACACTATTAATCAATTTTACAAAATACAATAAAAATACCTGATCACACTCTCTCACTTTCAGAACTGGTACATAAATAAGCAGACGGGTAAACAATAATCCATTAGTCATTTGTTCTGCAGAATACACTTCATTCTTGGATATGCCAGTATTTAAAAAAAATTATTATTATTCAGCTGTTGAATATTCCAGTTTATATTCAGAGAAACAAGACTCCATGGATCTGAGCCTTTGGGCCTTCCTAGTAAACTTATTTTTTAAAAAAAAAACAAATTATATGTGTAAGTTGAACTGGAAACTGCATCCTGGGCAGTCCTATTAATTGTCAGGGTAGCTTTCATGCTGCCCTAATAAATGGTCTGAGGAATTCTGTTCTTGAATGGCAGATGGAATAGCAATCTACTTACAATATAAATTATCCTTTGATAGAAATTTAACTTTAAAATTTTACTGTTAGCAAATGCACCAATGCCTGAAAACAAATTCCATTGCAAGCAGAAATTTGAATCTGATGACATTGCAAAAATGAAAATGATTTATGTAATAAAGTACAAATATAATTAAAACAGGCCATAAATTCTGAAGTGTGTTGGCAGTACAGGGGATGTTATGACAGCAAATATTCAGTGTTATATCACTTTATTGAGAATTTATGTGCACTTTTTGTTTAGAAAATGGGTCTAGTAATTATCAGTGCACAGTAAACAAAGGTCTTATTCTGCCTCAGTATATGCTGCCTTTGTGTCCTTGCCCTCACCGTATGGTTAAAAGAGCATCAGTGCAGACACACAAGAGCTTTTGTTCCATCTTCAGCCATGTGGAATGCATATGCCAGGGCCCTGGGGTTAAAAAAAAAAAAAGAAAAAAAAGAAAAAAGAAAAAGGGAGAAAAAGGGGAAGAAAAAAAAAAGAAAGAAAAAACAGAATTGGGGTTTGTTCAGGACTCATGGCATTTGGTCATTTCTGGGAGAAAGGTCTTTGATCTGGGAGCCTGGAAGGAGGAAAGTGGAAATGTTTTAGACACAGTACAGTGCTTGCAAAAGCCACATGAAAACCTTCTTTGTAGCTTTAGCCTTTTCATAGATGGACAGCTTCCTTATTTTACAAAGTTCTTCAGAGCCGTGTTTTCTAGAGAACATTTAACAATATTTGTTGACTGATATAAGACACAAAAATCAATGTGGATGGGATACAAAGAGCTTTTTAAAGTGATGATTTATTTAAACTTTATGGATAGTGTTTGAAACTGGGGAAAAAAAATCTTTTGGGGACTAGAAGATGCTTGGTTATTTAATGCAAAGAAACTATATCAAAGGACCATTTATAGTTATGGGCTGTTTGGCTTTGGGAATTGAATTTTTCCTACTGAGATATTTTGTCTAACATCCAAAAATTTGCTTTAATTACCTAGCAAATGCAGTCAACTCAGAACTTAGAGTCTAAACATAGCATAAGATAAAGACAGAGGGAAGAGATGAGATGCAGCCTAACTCCCTCCTCAACACATATGAAAAGAACAGCTTTAGGGGGTTTTTTTTACTTGCTTGATTTCAGCACATTTGCATACATCTGTGAAGAAATGAGCAAGATGAGCCTCTTTTAAAAATTTTCTTCCATTCTCCAAGTTAATAAGTTAAACAGTAGCACATTCAAGCTACCCCAGCAACCCGTAGTTTTCTGCTCTTCATCGTATAATTGGCTTCTGCAACATGAGGCAATATTCTCGAAGTGTTAGGTGCACCATGCATATACTATCTGCTTTAAATTGTATTGGCTGATTCTTTTCCAGCCTAACAATATCTTCTGGTGTCACAGTGCCTCAGTATTGCAATATTTTTATTCATTGTAGGATAACAATGTTTTTGTTTCATCTAAAAATATCCCAGGACTTTACTAAACTATTTTCAGCCATGCAATACTGACCCAAAATAAATGATCTGTTGGAGATGTTAGCTCATAACGATGCACAGCAGCATCTCACAGCAGTGTCCATCAGTCAGCAGAGATATTTGTACTTGCTCCTTGGGGCAGGACAGCTGATGGATGCAGCAGACAGCTCTGAACTAGCAAGTCTTTGGGACAGGGTCAAAGCAGCATGTGATGGTTGAACGTGTCCCCTGATGTCCAGTGACTCCAGTTTGAACAGAGCCCAGATTATGGTCCCTGAAACCTCCACAGACTGTTGCAGGGCAAGGACCTCTATTAAAAGGAAAAAAGAAAAAAAAAAAAAAAAAAGAAACCTCAGTATTTCTATGTTCAGGTTTTTATTTCAGAAAAGGAATCTATTTGTTTTCTGTTGATATCATCACTTGTTCTTTGTATCAAAGGTTGTGATGCCCTCTGAAGCTCCTCCTCAGCATGAGCCCGTAAGGGTTCTGGTGCTTACAGCTGCCATTCAAGTGGGTGACAGCTGAAGGCATTCAGTGTATTTGAAGATGGCCAAATGTTTGGGGGGAGGGCGCAAAACATCATTTGCTTTATCTGCACTGAGTGGTGTCCAGAGCTCTTCTGTACAATAAAACTATTAAATAATAAAGAAGGGATTGTATTACCTGTTGTCATAGTAGGGAATGATAAAGAGATCATTATTCCAAATAGAAGTTCTGAATAGAAATATCATGGAAATTGTTTTAATTTTTATTCTGTTCTTGGCCATGGTGACAAAAGGGACAGAAGCTGTGCTAATTTCTCTGTTTATCCTGATCTTTATGCCAACCAAGGTAACCGACAGTTGATAAAGATGGGAAGTCAGAGTTAGTCGATCTTAGTATCATCTTGCAATGTGGCTGATTCAGCCAAATGCTTGTTTACCTTGCTTAGTTTCTATAACATACTCATAAAAGTTTGAGAAGTTGAGAGGCATACGTATTTTTTCACAATGCAATTCGCCTGGGTTGCAGCTATCCCCTCCCAGGCAGAAAGGCTCTCAAACACCGTTCACTTGGTTTGTGCTTTGTATGAAATGCATACGTCCCTTCCTAACGCAGTATCTTGAACAGCATGGGAGCTACAGACGGGGTGGGCTGCCCAGATGATCCTACATGTCAGCTTTCTTGCCAGTTCAAAACTCTTTTAAACTGTTCTTTTTAGTTCACGGTTTGGTTTGTCTTTTTAAACATCTCACATCAGCATGTTTTTCACTTCTTTTGATAGCAGACAGTTTTACCACTGACTAGACCTTGCTGATAAGCAAAATTCTTCTTTCCCAGAACTCTTCCTAGAAGCCTAAATTTTCCCTTTTAATTTTGCATCATCTTCCCACTTCAATTTTCTAAACAAAATAAAATTATTCCAGACCTAGATGCTCCTTTCTGGAGGTATGTTAATATGTTTCTAGTCCATGAAGGTATTGCTTACATATGCTGTACTTGCTTCTTTTGACTGCCAGCCATGAATATTTTAACAGAAATAACGTAAGAAGCACCCCTTCAGATGTATTGATCATTTAGTTGTAGCCACAACTTTTGTTGTATAATATTCTGCAGTTTAACACTTGGATATTTTCTGATGTTCTGTAATTTACAGCATCGCACAGGCTTGTTTCTGAATGATTACTGCTTGTATTTGGTTATGGCTAATGTAATCAAACAAGTATCTCTTCTTGGAGAAAAGAAAGAGTGGGACAGAGACACATTCTTGTCTGTCTTCACCACTTTACCAGAGATCATGAAGCTGTGATTTCAGTGACATGAGGCCAGTTAACGAAAGCAGGTTTGACCTTATGAACTTGAAGTATGCACTGTAGATTGCAAACCAGTTGTCCCATTGCTTCTTCAAACTGACTTCAGAGTTTGTCAATGTTAAATATTAATTATTTATAACGGGATTTTCAGGGCTACTGAAAAAGAGTTTTGTTTTAGTAATTTTAAATGCTAGTTTCTAAACAGCTTTTCAGCTCATCCATAGTAAAACCATTGGCTGAAATTTTACAACTGAGAAGTATGAATTTATGTTTGCTTGCATTGAGTCTGATTAGCTTATTTATAATTAAAAAGAATTGCTTTGCTTGTAATTGTCACTATGTCATCCCTTCTCCTGACTTTTCTTGTTTTCTAAACCCAGATTTAGGTCGTTCTCGGGAGCTACAATATGTTTATGTGGATAACAATATTCATCTGAAAGGCCTCCCGTCTTATCTGTATAATAAAGTCATTGGTTGCAGTGGGTAGGTATGAATTAATTCAGACGTCTTGCATACCTGTTCCTTGTAAAATTTCTCATAAATATCTTCCTGTATGATGCGACTGATTTTGTGTGTATGTGTGATTGATTCAGAACTGCTGTCACTTTGAGGGGATTACTGCAGCTCACAGTTCTGTTTTATTTTTGTAATAAATTTTCTGGGTTAATTGCTGACTTTCAATATTTTCGTATTAAACCATGACAGACAGTGCAGTTATTCTGAAGGAATTTGTAACGATAATGTAAGGCCTAAAGCTGAATCCTAACTGCATTTAAAGGTTGGCCACGAATGTTGGCTTCACAGAATTTCCAGAACTGAAGAAAGAACAAAATATTTTTTTAATGCGTTGCAGCGTGTATCTAGTTCATAAGTTCTCACGTTTCTGTAAGTTATGGGCCATATCTGGGAATGTCACATACAGTTCCTTCACTCAGTTTACATCCCAGTATAAGCTTCTTATAGGTCTTGGTTCATACTAACTAAAATAAGTAACTTTTTTTAGGAATTATGGCCTGACAGATATATTTTTACATGTGCATTTTAAAAATATCCTAGGCTGTCTCATGTTTGTGGTTAGGATGTGAGAAGAAGTGGTCTGTCTAGGACACTAGCTTAATTCTTTCTGCACTGACACTAGCCTCAATTAGGATCAGCACCACTGATGAATGGAGCCTTACTGGTGTAAAACTGATCAGAAGAGGACTGTCCCCATTACCATCTAATTATAAATTTCTGGTATGCTCACTCTCAGCAAATCTTGCATTAAATATAAATTCCCTCTCTACAGCCTGCACTCTACTGCAGTATGCAAGATGCTGAGTCTTGGCATTTTAAGGTTTTTCTAATATTCCCATGTCAGCTGGTTGTGTGATATTTAAATACTTGCAGTTGGATTATAATTCTGCTGAACTGTGTGCAGTTTCAAGCTTCTACTAATTTTGTTTTTCAGGAAAAACAATTTCTAGCCTTTGTTCTTTCAGAATTGATTGTAAATTGTAAGACAGACATTAAATTGACCCTAAAGGTAACAGAACTGTATTGATTGTGACCAAAAGCACTAGTGACAGTGCAGGAAATGTTCCAACAAGTTTGGTCCAGCTGTCCTGCCTATTTCAGGTGATTTTCAACAGCCATGTCTTTATTTTCTTTTTAATATTTTAAGTCCTTATTTCATACTCAGTCAAAGTAATTTTATCTTTGCACTGACCTTTGGTAAAGATATTACTGTTCTTTTTCCTGTCATTACATGTGCACTGCTGGTGAGGTTAACTGCTAGTATCTCTGATGATGAGTATTATAAATCTAGTATAGAAGAGACCAGAAAAGTTGCAAGTTTGCAATGAAATTAATTCTTGTAATGCTTCTATGGACAAAAAATGGATTTTTTTCCCTTAATAAAGAATAAAAAGAAATTATTTTTAGTAAGTAAGTAATATTGTATTTGTGTACCAAATAGATATTTGTCTTTATGTTGTGAAATCATCTTGAAACATCATAGATTATTTTTAAGGAAAATTTTCAACATAGGAAGAGCACTTATATATTATTAGAAACAAAGGTTTTATTCGATAATGTGCTGAGTGATGTTAAAATGGTGTAATAATGGTCGTGTTGAAGAATTTCTGTGTTCTTTCCAAGAAAGCATTAGTAACCAATACAAGATTTTCATGGGTCAGGCGAGAGTTGAAGATCCAGGCTTTAGTGCTCTGTCTGGTCATCCACTGGAGAATAAAATCTGACATGCTGCTGTTGCTAACATAAAGCTAGATTTCTGAAAATAGAATATAAATTGCATTGTGTAAGTAATGAATCTCTGTCTGGGAATCCTGCAGTCAGACTGACTGAAAAAGTCTTTTATGTAAGAGGTGATGATCTCAGCACTCAAAATAAATTTTGATCCTATTTTTTGCAGCTAGGATTTCATAGTCTCCAGCTAGGTATCTGTCAGTCTTGTTCAAGGCAGCCAATAGGTGGTCATAGCTTTTTTTCCCCAGTTATTTATTCACCAGGGCTCTTCTGCAGCTCCGTTTTTTCCAGCTAGGTAGACCATCCTCTGTTCCACTTTTTAACCTCCATGGATTTGTGAGGTTTTTTTTAATTCTTTGTTCTTGCACCCAGTATTACTCATAGGTTCGGATTCATTCCCCAGTCCATCCTGATGTTAGAGTGTATATCTCTTGGATTATTCCTCTTGATGGTCTGTTTTGCTTGTTCACTTTGTTTTTCAGTGTTGTGGTCAGGCATTAACAGCCTCACCCTTTACATAAAGTAGACCAGATGTCCCAGCTCTGAACTGCAGAAACTGCAGTGAGTTTATGGGTGTGTCTTTGAGCTAGGTTGGTAAGGGGTTAATCAGCCTGAAAATAAAACATTATAGATTTATTTGTTGTGATAGCTAAGTCATTGCGTATGGCTTGCTGGGGAATGGATTGTTGGAATATTGGATCTCTGAATTCCCAATTATATTTTAATACCATTAATGGTTTGTGGGAAAATACTAAATATTTAACAAGAGGCTTATTGACTTGCTGTTTGGTGCTGCTCTTTTTTGCTTGCTTCTCAAGCTGCTTTTCCTTTAATCATAAGAGATGAGATTCTTTGTTATCAGAGAAGTACTATGAGATTCCTTTCACATCTGATAAGGTCAAGTATAGTTACCTCAGTTTTAGGTCCAATATCTGGGAAGGCTGACAAATCTGTGTTTCTGTTCCATTTGTTAGGACCCGCCCTAACAAGTTGCTCTTGGCTTCAAATTTAAGTTGTCGTAAACAATTCCCATTCCCCTCTTGACTTCCCCAGTCTCTTAGTTGAATTTTCCTGTGCATGTCTCTCTGGTAAGATAGCTTGCAACAGGGATCATGTAAAGTGTTGTTATTTTTTACTACAAGCTAGGTTTCTCTCCTTGGATCCAAATAATCCTTTTCCTTATAAGATTTGGGAAGGACAGGGCTAGCAGACTTACGAAGAGTATCTTCCCGCTATAGCTTAGGCTGTTCTTTTTATTATTTTTTCACCCACCCTGCTGCACCCTCCAAGGGAACTCTGTGGATGAGGAAAGGTGTAGTACAGAATCACCCGGTGGCACTTAAATGATATTTTTTGGTGGTTGTAATTTGCCTTGCATATTATAGCTGAGAAATCCATTACCATTCTCAACTGGTTGATCCAAGACATAGGAAGGCAACTGTTAGGTGTGAAACTGCTCCCCTGTGTTAAATATGGCATTCAGAGGCTGAAGGAGATAGCGTGTGTGCAAAGTAAGGGACATGTGTAGTGCACTTGGTTTACCTTCTTTGGATTGTGTTCTCATTTCTCCAGCTTTTGAATGTTATTTGGTAACTAAAGGCCTCCAGATGTCCCATGACTAGCACATCACAGAAGGTGAGGATCTATAGAAAATGTGTGTCAACACGTATTGCACTCTGCAAGGAATCCTTGAAGGGTGCTGCACTGAGGAACAGTATCAGGCATACTTTGGATTAGTCATCTGGGTTTCCCCATAAATTTACTTTCATTATTATTTTTTTCCTAACCACTTTATAAATATCTTGTGTCCTTCTAGTTGTGGTTCTCCAATTCAAGTTTCAGAGGTGAAACTGCTCTCTTTTTCATCGGGCCAGTTAACTGTGTTCCTGCCAGCAGAGGTGAAATCTATAGGGACAGAAACAGATCATGTGCTGCCTTTGCAAGAACTGGCCATGAGGACCCTCTACAACACCTACTGCAGGTTTTTAAAAGGTATGAAATTTCTGCATTTTTTGGATTATGGAATGAGTGGAAGTGCTTTTCTGGCAGGGATAGGAAGATTTCAAATGGCTCTTCCAAGAGCTGGGTAAGGATTAGTATTTTAAAAGATTCGTTTCATCAAATTATGTTTGAAATGCTGTATGAGAACAAAAGTGTCCAATATTGGAGATCCAAAGACTATTTCTGCGGTCGAGTGTTGCTTAGAAATGGTTTCTTTCTTAAGGACTGTATAAAGAAGGACGCTTTTTGCAGGAGAAACTCTTTAATGGAAATAGGAGATGAGAAATACAGTTCCTGAGGCAAGATTAGATGCATCAGCCAACAATGCAACTTCTTGCCAGGCAGCACACTCCTAAACTGGCAGACTTGTTATACATAAGGCAAAAGAAATGCTAGCAGCCTTTGGCCATTTCAGTACAACGTGACAGCTGAGCTGCTTTAGTTCTGCCCCAGTTCAAACTCTTGGCTGGGAATTGGTACTCGGCTCATCTGGTCATGCAGCATGCAGTCACATGAGTTAGCAATATCTGACAATACCCTGCAGATTCAGGTTTTGTTGGTTTTAGATGTTTTGTGACTCCCCTATTCATATCATCTTGGGAATGTGTCAGCTCTGGAGGTGAAAGTAGGAAGCAGAAGGGTAGAGAGTTACAATGGGAAGATCAGAGGGTTATGGTAAGGGGTCACTCGTGCCATGGCCACTGGAGGAGATCGTAACTGCTGAACTACTGCTCTGCGAGGAGAAGCGTACGAGGAGTTCTGCAGCAAATACGCTGAAGGGAAGAAGCTGCATGCTGAGGGGTGGGATAAACGTACAAGCCAGTGTTCATAGGAAACAGCACTGCTTTGTGGAGAATGTATTTACGGACGTAGAGAGTTTGTGGTTGGGTGTTTTTATTTTTTTGTATTTCTGTATATGGAGGGGAGAGAGGTTTTTGGTTGTTTAGTATCAGGATATCAGCTGCACCAAGATTACACAGTGACGGATGCTGTTTCATTTTGATTTGCAAAATTCCAGTCTCTGAAAAGGAGTTTGAGAACGTCAGGCACAAGATCTTTTAAATCATTGGTAACTATTCTGCTCACCCAGTTGTGACTTGGACAATAATTTCTGGAATATGACTGTGTGAATGTGGCTCCTGGAGATACTGGTGAAGTTTGATTTGGCAACAGTAAGATAGCATTGCAAAATCAGTTTAAGAAATGGTTTGTGGATGGTTTATACGAGGCTGTGAGGATGATATCTGGTTGCAGCCAAGGTACAGAACCTGAAAAAGAAGGTGAAACATTTTTTTTTTTAACTATCTTGCCTACTTCTAGTTTGAGGCACTGTACTATGTAGTCTTTTTATATATTTATGTATACATATACACATACATATTCATATTCTGAGTGACCTTATTAAAGACTATGTGCATTACCACTGGACTGCGTGCATTACCACTGGTGACACCCACATTTCAGTGATGCAGGAGTAATGTGTCATTCAGGCAGGTGTAAGATAATGTTGTGTTGGGGAAGCAGGGAGCACATGATTAGAGTAGCAGACTTCATCTATTGCCGATTGCCTAAATTTGCAGTTTCAAGGGTGCTGTTAAATACTGCTAGGTAAGTAGACAGAAATGACCGGAGCACTTTTCCTCAGTCTTTACTTGGCTGCAGAATGTGACCTTTTCTTTCTGACGCAAATGTCATGCTTGTCGTCTCAGTTGAGGCTGTTGTGGTACATTGTGTATGGGGTTAAACCTTACAGTTTTTGAAAGGTGAAGCTAGTGTGATATCACAAAACTGATTTATCAGGTACTGCATCTTGTCTTAATTACTCAGCACCTAAACTCATTCACCTGTCTTGGCTGTCTCTCAGTTTCTAGGTAGAGATTAGTGCGTTTGTTTTAATTTATAAAACACCATGTGGCTTGGGCCAAGCCAGAGAAAATGATTGCTCTTTCTTATGAAATGACCCCGGAGTCTGTTTTGGTGAATATGATGGCGTCTTGTAAACTGTGGGGACACTTAAGAGATTGTGAATGTATTGATCTTTTTAGAGTGGTCTCTCTGGTTGGACCTGTGAGAATTATGCTGGGCTGGATTGTATTTCAAGTAATTCTAAGTATTTCAGATCCCTTTTTGCTGATAGTGGGATTTGGGCTTTTTGTCCTGCTGGATTCATTGCTGAAATATTTTAGTCAAATACTACTGATGTCTTTTCAGAATTTTTTGTTGTTATTAATTACTAAATACCCATCTAGATCATCTTTGTATCTAAAAATGCTTTATGACATATTTCTGTGTTTTATTATTTGCTTGAGCTATAATATTTTCACCTGGTTATTTGGGCCTAGTTAATCTTATGCCCACAGATGCTGAACTTACACATTTAGCTTTAACTTTTTGAGCTCATGCAAGGAAAGCACCATGTGCTTCACGCTAATTGTGGTAATTTGTGTTGCCTTGTTGTTCTTTTTACAAAGTCTTAAGAATGTGACAGATGATTTTCTGAATTGTTCATGGACCATGCTTGTTGTGTTTGACTTTATCATGCAATTGTTTTATTACAAGCCTTTTTTTGTTTCTTTTCTTCTCTAGATTTGAACTTTCTGACTCCAATCTCACTACCCAAAAGCCTATTGGAATTGCTGCACTGTCCCTTGGGTCACTGCCACCG